TCGTAAAACACCCCATTGCGTTCGATTCCCCGGTTTGCAGACATCGACATAGCCACCGTGCGACAAGGACAACTATCTTGCAAGTCTTCTCTTTCTGCTGGATTTTCAACTTGATCTACACAGCCCACTGTTCCAAAATACTGTCTCGAACTGTTTCCTGGCGTTCACGTTCGACACCAGCAAAAGACTGAGTCGATATAACTTCATTAACTCTGCCTATCACGCTGTTTAAAATCAGCTTATAAAACCGGTCAAAAGCGTTCATGAGACCTTCCACTCTAGGGATATTCTGGTAGTTACCGTCTAAAATTGTTCCCTTAGATCTTCTATTTTACATAATTTAGGAAAGCCCAAACAAACTTGGGCACTTCTATCCAAAATGGCGCGCCTCGACACGGGCCCGATCTCACAACCATTGCCATACTGGCCGGCGGCTCAGACCACTCGGCCCCATCACCACGGGGACGACCGATCTCACAAAGTCTCCTCGAGTGTACAAGCGAATCACATGCAAATAGGATTTGTGGTGGATTCCGGCTGTTAGCTGTCAAGGTCAACCATCTTGTGGAGGAGATAGATTGGATAAAAACTCTGCTTAAATGTAATTAGGGTACATCTGACGATTTGAATGTACCCACTGGACGAATAACCAGGAGTAAGGCAAAAACTCATTTAAAAAGCACTTCACAGTGCCTTCTGTAGCAGATACGACAGAGTTATAACGGACGGTGAAAGAAATAAAAGAACAACGGCTGGCGAGAAAACCGGAAAACCCTACGAAAAAAGAAATCCGGTGGTGAAAAAGCCAATGGAGGTAGACAACCGCTTCTAAGTGATATCTCCACGGCACCGAACTAAGGACCTTGGCGACCGCCCCGTCCACAACGGCTAGTGCCGAGTGTTTTAAAGCAGTGATTAACGCCCAATCAGACTTTGAATTAGGTTAACCCAACGCGAGCAGCGCCAACTGACAATACGAACGGAATCGTCTCATTATTCGAACACCAACTCTCCCAAGATGGGGGTTGCGGACGACCTACCACTCTTCTAAGGTCTGCCTAACAATATTTTGGAACCTAAGGAGCCAGTTGAAGTGCTCTAAGTCTTCAGTCTCGGAAAACGGGCAAACAGTAGGTCACTGAACAGGTCCCGACTTCTCGAAGTTGTGCTGGCCTGTAAGGAAGAAACCCGGCTGATCCCCTCTAACCGTTTCACGATAAAAGGCTCCAAACCGGCCGAAACGTCGTCTTTTAGTTCTAGAATTGAGAAAGAGGCTCTGTGAGGGAGAACGCAATTTAGTTATCTACGACGCACTATTATTCCTGTGGACGTATCCGATCCGGATGACCGTGCAGCTGATAGAGTAGGTGAAGGTTCGAGCCACCTGGAAACCACCTCTCCAGCGGCTGTAAATAACAAACTCATACTGCTATACATCAATGTGCAGAGCATGTTATCAAAGTTCGTCGAGCTAAAGACGCCTTTCTCAGTTTATGGGGAGACATATACGCTGAATTGTCGTGGGGTGAGATCCCCGGTTTCGGTCTTACTCTCACGTCCCCCACTCGTGGACCCGTTGTTCATCCGAGTCGGTCATTAAAGTGATGCTGCTGTAGTGGCTGGCAGGGATAAAGGAGCTCGTCCGCGCCTGCCACATGTGACCTGATTCCTCAGACAACGCACCAAGTTTTCACGAAATGGGAATGGGCTGCCTCAGTCCCATATGTGTTAGAGAACCATAGATGCACATGGAGAAGGAGCCGAAAAACACGCTTCTCATTTGACGAGGAGAATGTATTTCGTACCTGTGGGACGGGTTCGTGTTTACTGCACTAAACTGGCAGGGTGATGTGTGGTGGTGATGGGGTTTCTTCTGTGGTGGTTTACGGCAAGTTTATATGGAGGCGCATGTAGTCGAGTAGCCCTATGCGATAGTTGAATATGCGTAATCAGTGAAGACAACCGAGACGAGGGCGACGGGTGTGTTATGCTGTTCTCGGGCGATGGATTCGCAATAGTCTGTGAAAACGAGTCTTTGTCGAAGAAAAAACCGAAACTTTAGTCTTGAAAATCAGCAGGAGCACATCAACCAGCCCAAATAAAGTTTGCTCCTAGGCGGATGCGCATTTGTCCACAAGACTACAGAATTCGTCCAACACTTTACATTTAAAATATGCACTCCACAATCTCAGCTGGCACATGCGGGTCTCGTAACAGATCGATGTTTTTAACAAAATATTCAGCCAAGCTCTCATAAGCAAGTTTTTTTCCAGTAAAAAAAGCAGAAGGCCGCACAAAAACGCGGAGATAACAGTACAATTCCTACAAGCCCAAACAACTCAGCCTGAGTTCAGAGGAGGATCCCAGCGGGCATAAAGCTGAATCCCATGCAAACATCCCCCTTGTGGCTACTTCACCCTTGAAAATAGGAGCGCAAACGAAATCCCTGAAGTTTATGCAATAAGCGGGAAACTAGATGTCAAATGTGTTGACTACGCTGTCAGAGAACTTATAACCCTATTAAAATGTAGGACAGTAACCTTTCCCATAAAAATGAGGGGAGAAGGACTCAACAACCTAGCTGAACTGATTATCAGACCCAGGTAACGAATCGTACGTCGCGAAAACCAAGAGGAAGATCACTCAGATTATAATAGGTTCGTCTGGATAGTCAAAAGTACGGTGTTGAGTATGAGGTAAGTCGCATAGCGGACGACACTGCTGATGTAGAATCCGTCGCAAAAACCTGTGTCTGTAGGCCCACTTCGTCTTACACTGTTATGAGTAGACATTATAATGTATTATGATGGCCAGTTTTAGCAAGGTAGGCCTCGAACGGGGCTCTGCCAGACTAAGGATTCCTATACATGTCGCACCTAACATGGTCGCTAAACCCAGCTTCTTGTGGCGTTTACCGTTTTCACAATCTAATTGTTACTTCTTTGTACTCTGGCGTGCACAAACCAATAACCGAACAGGGTTTGAACCAGTTGGATAAGACCTGTTGTTTGGATGCGAATAACAGCCTTCTGAAAATTACGACAAACGCCTACGTGCTTCTAGCAATTCTGAGACGACGACTCGGCAATCAGCATGCTTTTGACAAAAATATTATCGGTCAGATATGGTAATGCATCCCCACCTGAAGTAAACAAATCTCAACCACCTGAAATACAGGACGGGAGGTAATAGGGATTTTTACAGATAAATGACCCCCGATTTCTGATTGATGTGAATCGGGGGTCATTTACCGGATAGACTGCATTGTGGCGAAGCCAATTATGTTGGTGAAACCTTAGGGTGCATGCACCCTAAGGACCAGATTCCCATCAATCAGAAATCGGGGATCATTTACCGGATAGACTGCAGTTGTGGTCAAGCCAATTATGATGGTGAAACCGGCAAACAGGTACGCACGAGATTGCATGAACACGAGTTGGCTGTGAGACGGAAGGATAAAGTCTCCTTGGTGGCCGCCCACGCCTCCACGCCAGGACACGCCTTCGACTTTCAGTGCGTGAGAATATTGGGTCGGTCGGACGACCGAGCTGTTCGCCTGCTGCAGGAAGCGTGGCAGTCAACCGAGGACTCGATTAATCGACATATCGATCTGCCAATCGCCTATCAAGCACGCCTCTAACCACTGGGCCATGAGCCCGTTGTCCTGTCACTTTCGATCGGGAATATGACAGTTCGACCATCGATTTCGATGATGTTCACCGTATGTCCCACAACAGAGGTGGGAGCAGGGATGGTGACTTGCGCAGGGGTTTATAGTGCCGGTAGACTTGCGCTGCATCTACCTACACACTCTCCTCCTCCCTCGCCTGAGCCCGGTGTCAAGACAGAGTCAAGAAGACCGGCGACGACGGAGGCCGCAGGTGGATGGCTCGGACGGATCCTCACCTTGGCGTTCCACCACACCCCCTGGTCCACACAACAAATGACCAGGATTTCAACCAACACAACAGAGATTTGGAGGCTGGCACGACCGAAGCCGCACCTAGGCGTGCCGCCAACGCCTGGTTCGGATCCCACACTGCGGTGAGAGTGCCATAAAGGCCACGTTAAAAAGGAGCCATTGCAGCCTGACTCTCAGACCGCCTCCCGTCAAGGAGGAGGTCCAAGATACCCCGTCAGTTGGTAACCTTCCAAGCCACGGCTTTTAGCGCACCGTGATAGCTTCAAGCGCGTCAGATTGTTTATAGTGAGGAGAAAGTGCGCTGAGTCGTCGACCTCACTCTCCCTTCCCACTCCCACACCCCAGCCGCTGTCCGAGCCGGTCAGCAGACTGGAGTGGGAAATGGGCGCGGTGGCTGTCATGGTCGACTGACCATGACTGCGCGCGCCACGGCACTACCTGGCCCCCCCATACACACAAACACCAGGATTTCACACAACGGGGGTTCAACGGCGTGTCTCTCACTTGCGTGATAGGGCCGTGGAAGGTGCTGTTTCAGCCCGTCCCCAGCCCACCAGTCCGCCACTCCACACAACACACACACACACAACGCCACGAACTGCGTGAACCGAGAGCGGGCGTCAATCAGCAACCTTCCTATCCACGACGCTTGACGTGTCGGGATAGTCTCGGACTCGAGTCACCCGTGCAGCCGAAGCCGCATGAGGACCGAGTCGAGATGCGGGCTTCCCACTTGCGTGGGAGGTGGCAGTTGGGTGCATGAGGTGTGTGAGTGTTGATGTCTGGTGGGGTGATGGTGGTGGTGGGAGGTAGGGAGTGAGTGAATGTGTGGTGTGGCCGGCGGTTGTCTACCGCAGGTCGTCGTGGATGCGCATGTGGCCGAATAGGCCCATGAGATGCCTGAAGGTGCGAGGGCAGTGTGGGCAGTTGAGACGAGCTTGGTGGGTATAGGTTGGTGCTCCAGGCACTGGTTCGCCAGTCTCTGTGCGATAGATTCGCAAGTGACCGACCAGGCCGATGCGTGAGGTGAATGCACATGGACAGTGTAGACATGACAAGTCGGCGGTGTCAGTGTCAGCTACAGAGGAGGCGGTGGTGGTGGTGGTGGCGCAGGCGGATGGAGCGAGGGTGGGGTGTGCACGGTGGATGTGTTGGATGTGGTGAGTGTGTCGGGAGTGCGGTCATTTCCGCTCTCGTGGATGCGCATGTGGCCGAATAGGCCCATGCGATGCCTGAAGGTGCGAGGGCAGTTTGGGCAGTTGAGTCGAGCGTGGTGGGTATAGGTTGGTGCTCCAGGCACTGGTTCGCCAGTCTCTGTGCGATAGATTCGCAAGTGACCGACCAGGCCGATGCGTGAGGTGAATGTGCGTGAACAGTGTGGGCAGGTGAAGTCGGCGGCGTCAATGTCAGCTACGGAGGAGGCGGTGATGGTGGTGGTGGTGGGAGTGATGGGCCTGCAGGACGATGGAGCGAGGGTGGGACAGGGCGTGGTGGATGTGCTGGATGTCGTGGGTGTGACGGAGTTGCGGTCAATTCCGCTCTCGTGGATGCGCATGTGGCCGAATAGGCCCATGCGATGCCTGAAGGTGCGAGGACAGTGTGTGCAGTGGGGGCGAGTGCGATGGGTGTAGGTTGGTGCTCCAGGCACTGGTTCACCACCACCACCACCACCACCACCACCACCACCACCACATCCATCATCCCTGCCCCAGCTCTTGCAACAGCGAAGACTGCCAGCTCTCCCTCATCCGTTTCCGGCGAAAACACTCGACATTCCATCAACCACTAGACTCCCTACCGCCCTTCCCACAGCCAGCAATGTGAACTTGGTCTCCAGCTGCCCTCATTGCTATCACACATTTGCCTCGCGCATTGGTCTGGTCGGTCCCTTGCGAATCCATCGCACCGTAATCCGCGAACCAGTATCAGGATCCTCCACGTACACTCGCGGTATCTGCCTTCATTTTTCACACTATTCACGCACATCAGCTCACCGAGTGGGACTATTTAGCTGCATACGTGTACACCAGTTAGCCCGTCGTTACCAACGATGTCCACCGTGTGCTCCCCAGCAGGTTGGGAGCAGTGGCGGCGACTTGCGTCGGAACAAATTTGTTGTGATAGTTCGTTTGCGTTGCGTCTACCGCACTCCCCTCCTCTCATTCACCTGGGTCGGATGTCAAGACAGAGTCAGGAAGACTGGAGGCGAGAACGGACGCTGGTGGTTGGCGCGGCGTGAGCCCGTTCCTGGGTGTGCCACCACGAACTCTCCCCCCATGTATGGCATCTGTTATGGGTGTGCAGTCCAGGCACATCTTGTACATCCGACGAATCTTCCACCTCCAGCAGCATCACCAAAAAGTTTCTAATTGTGGGATTTTTTGACGCCGTGAAACTGTTGTTCATAAATGTCATATCTCTGCATTTACCGATGTGGCTTGTAAAGTTAACAATATGATTCAAATCCACTGCTAAATTTTATGAAGCCGTATATGGTCTCCTCTTAATACCGTGGAGAAATGTATGGTTTTCCGTTCTCGGAAAGTATACGGCTTGTAGGTTGGAAACCCTGAATGCAAGTGTGATGGCAGGTCGGGTTCAAAATTATTCGCGAATTGGAAAAGTTGTTGAAAACCGAATTATACTCATTCTTCGAGTACAAAATTGGAAGGAGACGCCATTCCCTACCGAATCAGCAGGAGAATGAGTATTTTTATGTATGTTTTCCGTGAAATATAATCGAATTTTTAAGGGTATCGAAAATCAGTGAGAGAAATCCACACTATTTGAGCAATCATTTTTGCAGAGTATGATTTCTGTATGGTAGCCAAAAAGAAGTTCGTTCGAAAGCCGGCATCCTGAGGTAACTAAATTATTATATAATTATGCTGCATGATGACTATTTTTACAACCCTACTTAATTCATCTTTCCGAAACGAAAACGCATTTCGGGTGGGTTAGCCCACCTACTGTACACAATGCATGGGTCTATTCACACGAGTACGCCCATAAACGGTCAGCAATGGTAGGGGACGCACACCGATCGTTCTTACGGAACTCACTCGTTCCGTTGTGCCTTACGGGCTCTCTCTCTCTCGAGCCTCGGGTGTTCCACACTTCGGGTTTGGGTATGACTGGATGACGACGGCTAATAAGCCAGAAATGGCCATTCCAGTCTCCCAAGTCTTTGTCGGTAATATCATTCTGCCTATATCATGCGCTGATGTGCGGCTGTTGGTTGGGCTCGAGAGAGAGCCCATAAGGCACAACGGAACGAGTGAGCTCCGTAAGAACGATCGGTGTATACGTTGGACAACCCGCCTTTTCAGGCTCACAAGTAAGCAGAATTTCAATTCTTCGGGTGAGCGGGCAAAGCTTGCTGGATATGCGATGGTGAGTCTGTCTGAAAAAACTATATCTTAGGGCGAAGTTCAGAAGGGTCAAACCGTTCTTTTTGGAGGATCACTAGACGGGATAGAGAAATAATCTTGGCGTAGACCATCTGTCAGTATGACGAACGCTAGCATGTTTTCCTACCTGAAAAAATTATGTGAATCATTAAGACAGCATTGCCCGAACTGCTGTTCTGCAGGGTTGCGCAACATTAGGAGGGAATACCTTTCAGGTCCAAGCATTTGTTCAAATATTCATAAAATAAGTCCTCTGTTTTGTCAATGCTCCCAATAACTCATTGGCAAGGGCACCCGACTTAGCGCACTAGAGACTAGTGCTGGGACAACTTCTGTAATTTGGCATTCAGAGTACGGAAATTTCAGTGCCTACGCTTGGGGCAACTCCCCTCCACCTCTTATCATCATCAAATGATCGGCTGCTAAGAACCGCAAAGGAAATGTTAGGAAGGACTTTATTCCACGTCCTCCAATAGTTGAAGGGCTCCCACCGATCGTTCTTACGTTGTGTCTTACGGGCTCTCTCTCTAACCCGACCCGTAGCCGCACAGCGGCGCCTGATATAGGCAGAATTGTATTACCGACAAAGACAAGGAAAACTGGAGCGATCGTTTCTGGCTTATTTACCGTCATCAGACAGTCATAACCGACCCCGAAGTGTGAAACACTCGAAGCTCGAAATCGCGACCTGTTAGGTAGAAGTCTAACGCCTCTAACCACTGGGCCACGGACCCGTTGTCCTGTCGGTGTCGATTGGGAATATACAATGGTAGAGGGGCGCTCACCGTTCGTTCCTACAGAAATCACTCGTTCCGTTGTGCCTTACGGCTCTCTCTCGAGCCCGACTAGCAGCTGAACAGCGGTGAGTGCTGGTTGCTTACCAGATTGTCTATAATATTTCAATTACCTCAGGATGCCAGCTTTCGAACGAACTCACTTTCGACTGCATGCAAGAACTGTACTCTGCAGAAAATGACTACATAAGTAGCATGAATTTTTTCATTGATTTTCGATGCCCTTAAAAATTCAATTATATTTCATGGAAAACATGCATAAAAATATTCACTCTCCCGCTCACTCGGTAGAAAATGACGTCTTCTTCTAATTTTATACTCGAAGGAAGGGTAATATTCGTTTTTAAAAAAAACTTTTCCAATTCCCGAATAATTTTGAACCCACTCTGCCGTCACATTAGCATCCAGGGTTTCCGAACTACAAGCCATGTATTTTCCGCGTACGGAAAACCACACATTTCTCTACGGTATGAAGACGAGACCATATGGGGTCCATAACATTTAGCATTGGATTTGATCCATATTGTTAAAATTACAAGCCACATTGGTAAATGCAGAGACATGACGTTTTATAAACGGCCATTTCACGGTATTAAAAAGTCTCACAATTAGAAACTTTTTAAAAACCGAATTATGTCCCTCCTGACCAGGACCCAATACAACATAAATACATACAAAAAGCTCACCGAACAAAAAACAAGGTAGTCCATCCCCATAAATTGTTATTTGAGACCAAGTCTCACGGATAGGCTACCAACCCAAAACCGCAGCCTCCAGGATGTGAACTGAGGTTAAAAATCTCGATGTGATGCGCACTTCTAACGAATGACTTCGGTTAGTACGTCTTTTGGAAATTTAAGACTACATTTTCTTAACGACTAGTGGGACAGGAGAACTTGAGTAAAAGACATGAGATCGACTGAGCCATATCTGTGTAAACACGTTTTTGGAAGTGTGAGATACCTACTGAAAGACTGGCAAGCAGAATAGAGCGTGCTAGTGCTGAGATCGATTAATTTTCAATTGCCTGAAAAATTAATGACAGTACACAAGGCACGGAGTAGCAATTGGAAATCCCCTTCAGTATCGCTCGACTTCCACTGACCTAGTTTATAGTCATAGGTACCAGGAGGAGCGCAAATATCCAGGTGAATTTCAGAAAAAGTATAAAACGGTTGTGCAAAACCACAGTTGTATCGTTGGTTTCAACGGAGGCGAGCCATTCTGCGTAATAGATAACACCATGCAATAAGAGGAAAGAGCGTAAGCGGTTTCAAAGGAAACCTGGAAGGCAAAATTTGCTCATTAACATCGACGCCTTGACCAGAGTTCTCAATCAGGCACCAGCGAATACAAGGATATAATTGTTCCACACTAAACAGTATGAAAGCAGGTTGATGTTTGATAAAGCGTACTGTCAGAGGCCACGCCGAAGTCGTCAGCAAACTGGTCCTGTCATATGTAGTTCCTGTTGTGTTTTGAAGTCTGTGAATCTTATAGTCGCTTAAGTTACCTTAGCTGCTGGCCTACATTCGGTGACCTTTCCCTGCTAAAACATGAACATAAATTGGTGTACTTGTGGGTTGTCTCAAGGACTACTCACGTCCGGGACATAGAAAACTATGGCCTCTGGAAACTTCTATGAGTCGTCAACAGGTTAGACAAAAATTACACTATACGGTGCTTCAATCAGACCTCATGAAAACCTATTGTTTATACACAAGAAAAGTAGCTAGAGATAGTTTTTCCGAAGTATTAAAACATTCACTCTTCAGAATCTATGCCATCTTCCGCATAGCGCAAATTAATACATGTTAAGAAAATATTGACAAGTACGACGAAATAATAACAAAATTCCCTGAGTCACTTGTTTCCCCTGAGTTCTCCAGAGTAGAGATGTATCAAGCTATAGCGATGAGCTACGTCCATGCTTCAAATTCCTGAAATAAGTGACGCATCCCAATCTAAATGAAAAGTCCAGTATGTGCACGGAATGGAGGATAAGCAGGAGCGGATCCCTCGGGAGGTTGAGCAGCGCATAATTTTTGGCGCAAAACTACAGTACGCATATCACAGATGAAAGTTCTTGAGTAATTTGGTCCAGCAGTCAACGATTAGACCGAGTGTTTACAGGCCTAATCCCCACAGATCGACCCATGACAAATGCAGACAGGTTCAAAGTGCACCCTACTCTCTGTACCTCATATGTTCCAGACGGAATTTTTTACCAACACCCGTAAGACACGAATGTTTATCCTTCCTGTATTATATCCTCGGAGAGTGTTTACTTATTTCATTTGGGTAGCCTGACATATGCCAACATTATTATCTGATGGCCATTGCCGTTAACAACTTCCTATCCGCTGGCT